TCACTTGGGACTTTACGTCTGAACTTGCGTGAGCCTTCGCATACACTCGATTTCTCAGATTGCCGTATGTCCCGTCCCTCTTTGTATGCTGGGCGATAATTTTAACACATTTTAAATAAAGAATCTCGAGCAAATTTGTTGTTCAAGGGAGTTCAAAGACTCTAAATAGTTCTCCTGGGCTCAGTTCCCCTCAGTGAGAATCCGCCTCCCAGCCAAGACCTGATTTTAAGCACAACACAGAGGGTTAAACTAGGGGGGAAATTCCAGGAGGGCACTTCACTCCCAGATTCTAAACCCCCAGTAAACATCGTGCAGATCCGACAGGTGAAGGCACATTTGCCAGTGGTAAGTGACAGAGGGATGGCACCTGGGCTGTTCTGAGTGAACACCGGGCTAGGAACTGCAATGCACTGCCGGAAATTAATACTTCTAAGTGTAAGCTCAGAGAAGTGATAATGTCTTAGTCTCTTTTAAACAAGTCATTTGCTGGGGATGGGAGATGGCTCAGCAGTTAAGGCTGGCTGACCTGTAACTCCAGTTCCAGGGGATATGATGTCATATTCTGGTCTTCCCAGGCACCCAAACGCACATAGCATACACTCACACCCACATAAGCAGATAAAGAAAAAGTGCTTTAAAGTGTCACCACTAAACCAGCATACACATTCGTAATCCCAACACTGAGGAGGTGAAACAGGAGTTCACGGTCAGTTTAAAATACTGGTACCCTCTAAGTAGCCCCCTCTTCCCGCCCCTGTGACAAATACAGTAGCTGCTTAACTGGAAAGAGACTTCAGCGGCATCAAAGGCAATCTAAGACATCTTAAATTTCAAATCGCCTCCGATAGGAAGAGGATTTTTAGACCCATAGATGGTTTTAGTTTAAAAAAAAAAAAAATGTGGGTCTGAAAAAAAAAAAAAAGGCGTCTTCAATATTTTTCGGTATTTGAGGTGAAGACCCCGTGATTTGTATTGGGAAGTGACAAGATTAGCTCTGCTGCGGTGGCCGGTTGTGGGAGTGGCCCAGCAGCCTGTTCGAGCAGGACAGACTTCCGTTGAGCCCAAACTCAACCTGCAGTAACAAACCTGAGAGGAAGCCAAACTGCATGAAGAGCCTCCTGGGAGATCCTGCTCCAGTGAGCTAAAGGCTGGGAAGGGCTGGGAACAGGCTGGGTGCCCTTTCAACAAGAGGCTCAGTCTTTCCTTGCCGTTCACCTTCGGGATCCTTGAGACAGGACTACGCAAAGATCAAACAGGGGCTCTTCTTCCCAGGACACAATTCCAGTTATGAGTTGTGAATGCGTTAGGTGATGAGTGCCTACCAACGACCCCTCAAAATCATCTTCCATTCATTTCTTTACCTCTTGTCCCATCTCTGAACCTGAGAGTGAAAGGGTGCCCAAAGTTGGTTAAGACTCGAGGAGCTACATGGGATAATATTTTGTGCGATTCCATGTGCTAAACACGAAAGATGTGACCCCCCTCCACTGTTGTACAACTCTTCAAACACATGTTGAGGAAATAATACCATTCTTTTTCTTAATTGCATAAAGCCTCTAACTTCCCTACCATCATGCTGCTGAATGTAACATTATATATAATCTATATATTATTATGGGTGTTTTGTCCATGGGTGTTTTGTCTCTGTATGTCTGTGCACCATGTGGAGACGGCACTCACTGGTGTGTTAGCTCAGCTGGTGCTAACAGTGCCAAGTTCAGCGTGAGCTCCCTCTGTGGGCCCACAGTTCCCTGCAATGTCCACAGTGCCAGAGGATTCCAGATCCGTGTTTTTGTTTTCCTTTGCCCACTCCTTTGCCCAGCTGTTTTTCTCCCGGGTGATGTTCTCACTCTTGGGATAAGAACTGGGAACAGACAGCTCTGTGAGGCAGAGCATCCCAACTCAGGACATCCCCTTTGTAATGAAAAGCAGGGGGTAGGTGGTTAGAAAAACTTACTGGTCTTCTTTGTAAATCAGGCCTGAAATCAGCCTCCTTTCTCAAGTTAAGACATTTCTAGGTAAGCCTGTGTTCAATGGATTTCTCTTAGGAGTTGTAGGCTAGCTGAGATCATACACAGTGGAGAAAACAGCACTATGAACTTACTGCCCATACTTTTTTAGCTTTTTTTTTTTTTTTTTTTTTTTTTTTTTTTTTTTTTTTTTTTTTTTTTTT